GAGAGAGAGAGAGAAGGGGTCGGTGGTGGGCAGTGGAAAGGGAGAAGGGAGAGGTTCTGTGTCGGTGGTAGACTGGTTTTATTTATTTTGAATAAGGGCAAAATAGTCCTAATATTTCCGTTAGATGGGTTAGTTGACCATGATAGGAGGTGTAATTGTAATATGTCATACCTGAGGGGATTTATGTGTTTTAGTGAAAAAGTTCAAAGGGTGTAAATGTAATTTATCCTCTTTTTTTTTTAATTTTTACCAGAAAAACACTTTCGGAGCATGTTTTTTTTTAGCCAATCTGTTTTGTAAACGATCCCCGTTTTTGAAAAGACATATTTAGGTGCTTTCAAAAACAAGGGAAATCGAAAACATACGTACCCCTTGTCCCCAATTAACGAGGTCTCGTCTTCGAACCCTATTAACAACACAAAAGGTATTTTTTCGTTCCAATTATAAAAAGACTTTTTTAACCCTTTTTTGTTTCTCTCGTTCGTCTCTCTCTTGTGACGTCTGCGTAGGAAAGCGTCATCGATCAACTCAGCCTAGCGAAGGAAGCTCTAACGAGAAACACTGATTTGTCAAATTTTTTATTCTTTCCATCTTCATCTCCATCGATCTCTTTCTCTCTTTGACCCCTCATTTGAATTAATATTTTTTAAGTCTGGGTTTGTTATATACATGGGTTGAGTAGTGTTGGTGGCTAAATAGGGGGGTGGTGGTGGGTTTTCGGTGATTTTGGTGGTGTGTTTTTAGGGGTTTTGATAGTGGATTTTCAAGGGTGTTGGTGGTGGGTTGGGTGGTGGCTAAGCAGAGGTAGTGGTGGTGGGTTTTCGGTGATTTTGGGGGTGGGTTGGGTGGTGGCTAGACAAGGGTGGTAGTGGTAGATTTTCGGTGATTTTGGTGGTGGGTAAATAGATGGGTTAGGTGGTGTTGGTGGTGACTAAACAGGGGTGGTGGTGCTGGATTTTTGGTGGTATTGGTGGTGGCGATGGTGGTTGGGTGGGGTGGGTGGAAATGTATTTGGCATTAAAAAATTAATCAAAATAATCACAATGAATTATGAAAACACTATTATAATACCAAACATAATTTTTTTTTTGTTTTCATAATTTTTTAAATATAAAATAATTACCAAACATGTTTTATATTTTTAATTTTCATCACAAAAAAAAAAAATAATGAAAATGTTACCAAATGCACACTATGTTATTGAAATTTTAGTTTTCGTAACATAGAAAAAAATAATTTTAACTGTTGATCCATAATCCAAAAATAGTTATTACTAAGTAATGTTCATTTTAATATCCGGCTTCAACTATAATAAAATTGCATTTCTATACCAATGTGTAATTCTATGAAAGTAGGACAGTTATTCGCAGATATGTAATGGTGTTACCCTTACAACCACCACCACTCGACCACACTATCACTTTCAACCACCACCACCACCATTAGCCATTACTATGTAGGATTTACCTCCTCTTCCTATATGTAACACAACAGCAACAAAACCTTAGACAAACTTAACAGCAATTCAACCACCTAAATGCGATGACACCGATGGAAACATCTGTTTGACTAGCAAACAATGGAACAGTTCCTGTGTCCATGAGCTGTAGGAGTTCAAAAGAAATTAAACACAAAGTGAGGTCAAAGTTGGTGATAGAATTGGCCTGAATTTGCAGAACACAACCATGGCACAGTTACTTTCACTGGACCTCCTGATGGCTTTTTCATCCATAGCTCTTCTAGTGAAATCAATTCACAACATTTGTCCGAAGGGTGTTTGTTTGTTTTGAACAGAGGTAATCAAACAATAAAGCATAGCAAGAAGCAACCCTCATCAGATCAATGCTTTATAAAACAGCTAGAAAAGGGCAATAAATCTTCTCAGAACAAGAAAAGTAAATATAAATTCCTAACAAAAACATTGATAACCTAGCAGCTATTTCTTCCATATGTGAAGCTTAAAGATTTTCTTCCCCTTCTTGTGCGTCATCTGAAACTAGAAGATGATTAAGAGCAACCTTTGCCTTCTTCGATTCTGGCAAATTTTCCTTGATTTCACCTTCATCACCTTTCCTCTTGGCTGATTCATCTTTCTCTTTTTCAGCTTCTTCGTGCCTAGCCACAGCAGCCTCACCATCAGAACCTTCTCCTTTTCCCTGTGACGACAATTTCAAATGAGCTGCTTCACCTTTATCTTTGCCATTCAAATCTCCTTTCTTGGATGCTGCTTCAGTTTCAACTAAAATTAAGCGGACTTCTTCACTGCTTGCAAGGTCAAGAGGGGTTTTCCCTGCTTTGGTCTTCGCATCCTTATTTGCACCTTTCTTCACCAAGTACTTGACAAGTTCCAGGTTGGACCCTTGAACAGCATAGTGAAGAGCGGTCATGCCCTTGCGATTGGAAGATTTGACAGAGACTCCGGATGAAAGGAGAATCCGAACAACTTCTAAATGACCTTTTTGAGCAGCAAAGTGTATCGCACCCATGTCATCCATGGCGGCAGCACCAACATCAGCCTTGTTCTTGCAGAGGTAACTCACTACTTGTGCCTGCCCTGACCATGCTGCTAGATGTAGTCTAGGATTCAGGGTCACTTAAATCAAGGAAGCAAACAACTAACAAAAAGAAAAAGCAAATTTGAAAAGAAAGCATGGGTGGCCAATTCGAATTCATTACCCTTTTAACTTTCATAGCGCCCAAAAGTTTCATATATACATATCATCAATAAAACAGCTGCTTCTTACCCCAAGTTCTCAAACTAAAACACTTTCATTTAACTATTGAACAAGCTATAAAGATTTCTAGGCAATGGACACATCCACAAAGCAAAGGCAAAGGAACAATGCGTTTCAAGCAAGACTCATGCAAAGGTCTGTATGACAACCAAGAGACTATCAAGCTAGCTGGACCTTCTTTAGTTCTGAGAGAATCTGAGAATCAAGAGCAGAAAATGCAGAATTGCAGAGAAGGAAGAAGAAGAAATAGAGAGGAAGAAGATTCAAGAATTTGCTTCACACACTTTTATTCTCACAATCTGTTGTACAGGATATGATGATGCACAAATTAGTTTGCACACCACTAGTAAAGTTGTAGTATAAAATGCAGTAAGTAGAAGAAGAAAGAAGACAGGATTTATAGTGGTTCGGTCAATACGACCTACGTCCACTTTGAATGACTAGGTTTGCCGGAATTTTATTATCTCCGGTGTGGAGGGAGAGCAAATGATTACAAGCTTTGAGAGTGGATGAGAGAATTATGCTCAAATGAATCTGATGCTCCTCAAGTGTTGGGGGAACTTACAATTTATAGTGGCTTGGCATAGTAATTGTATGACTAGTCTGACGGTCATAATGGCTTAGGACCGTTTGATAGTAATTAGGTAGCTGATCTGGCGGAGGCGACCTATCATCTTCTCAATGGGCGAGGTGTGACGGTTGGTGTGCTCTCCAAAGGACTTGTTCAAGGATGAGGGAGGTTAACTCTCTCCAGGTTGTGAGGGTGAGACTTCTTGGATGACCTTTAATCCAAGGCGGTAGAAGAGACTCTTACTCCAAGGTGGTAGAGGAGGAGGCTCTTGGATGACCTTGCCTGCTTCTTGCTGATGTAGTAGCTCCTTGAGCCTGATGAGCTTGATCGGGTTGACCACATTGGGTTGAATTTGTCGGATCTCTTGGAGTCGGGCTATAAACTCAGACCGGACTTATAACACAAGTTGGGCCTTTGGGCTTGGCCCATCATTTGCCCCCCCCCAATGCCCTGCGTGACGGAACTTGAAAAGGAGGGCATTCAGATTGAATTTGAGTTTTCACTGACCGGCATAACCGGAAAAACTTCGGGAGGCTGTGAGTTTTGTAGGGCTCACCAAGAACTTCGATTTGATATATTATAAGCCTCATTTCGAGTAACAGAGTAAAAGTTACGGTCAAAACTTCGAGCAGAGAGCTAAGCGAGCGGTTTGGGCGAGCAAGACACTATTTTGAGCGAGAAGCACTGTTCTAGGCGAGCAGTATTGATTTGGGAGAGCAAAAAAATTTTTTTTTTTTTTTTTAAAAAACTTCAGGAGGCCAAAACACCTCTTTCTGGGTGTTTTTTGGACTTTTTTTAAAAATCTCATTACCAAAGGTAATGAGTTTTGCTCAGCTCGTCGGGAGTTTCGATTTGGTATATAATAAGTCCTATTTTGAACTTTGGATCAAAAGTTTCAGTCAAAATAGCGTGCAGTGGCCGGGTGCAAGGCTTTGGGCAAGCAGACACCCTCCTGGACGAGCAAACAATTTTTTTTTAGGAGGCCAAAACACCTCTTTCTAGGCATTTTTGGGACTTTTTTTTGAAAAGCACATTACCAAAGGTAATGACTTTTGCTCAGCTCGTCGAGAGCTTCGATTTGATATATAATATGTCCCGTTTTGACTTACGTAGCAAAATTTACGGCCAAAATAGCGAACAGACGTGTTGGTGCACAGTTTTGGGCAAGTAGACACTGCTCTGGGCGACCATGCAGCTGGACACGCTGTTTTGGGCAAACAAAAGGCCTTGGGTGAGCTTGGGAATTGCCTAAGCGCCACTCCAGGTCGTCTTGAGGAGTAACCTGCTCGCGTAGGAAGGGTGGTCTGGCGTGGAGATGGGAAGGCAGGCGCCGAGAAGGGCCCAGGCGGCATCGCTGTGCGTTGCTACAGTTCGTGCAGTAGGTGAGGGGGCTGCTCGAGTCTTCATGCATGCTGGCCTGCACGCTGGGCGTGCTGATCTGGTCCATCAAGCACCTAGGGGAGCTGATCCTGGTGAGCAAGGAGGTGGAAAGAAGACTAGTCTTGGCGTGAAGGCACCAAGAGGCACCATTTTGGGCGAGCACAAATGGTTGGGCGTCTGCAGGACTACTTCGCTTGTACGAACAAAGGGGGCCAGACACCTCTCTAGGCACTGGGCTGCCCATTTGGGCGAGCAGAGGAGGTCAAGCACCTCTCTAGGCACTGGGTTGAATAGTGCAAGCTACAAGGCAATTTTGGGTGCCACTTTTGGTGATGATTTGAGGAGTTTAGGTAGCCAAGGAGCTTTGGATGCCCCTGTAGGGAGTTCAGTTCTCGCCCATGCAGGCGGGGTTGCCCAGGAATTTCTTGGCGAGCCTGGTTTTGGAGCCCGGGGGCAGAGTACGCTAGACACTTTCAGCGGTGATGGTCCAGCTCCTCTTAGTGCACCTTCTTAAAATCAAATTCTTCCATGATATTCTGAGGATTGTTTCTGCCTATCACATCCCCCAACGATTCTATGTCGCCGTGCTGAGATGGGTGAACCTGCTTATGATGACAAAAATAAGGTTATTCCAAATATTAAGATATTTAACATGATTACCTAAAGAGAGAGGCAGGTTGCTTGTGCGAGAGCAAGACAAAGTTTGAGGATTACTCGTGAGAGAGCTACACCTTTTGAGACTGAGTTTTTGGCGACCCATGAGAGAGTATTTAAGCTTGAGGTATAGGCTACTTGCTTGAGAGCAAAGCAGATGCCAAACTTTTTTGGCGACTCGTGAGAGAGCCAGGAGATAGACTGCTTGTTTGAGAACAGTATAGAGGTCAAGCTTTTCTGGCGACCTGCGAGAGAGCCGCTAAGTTGGAGATAGGCTGCCTGTTTGAGAACAGTGCAAAGGTAAGCAAGCTTTTTGGCGACCCTTGAGAGAGCCGTTAAACTGGAGATAGACTACCAGTTTAAGAACAGTGTAAAGGTAAGCCAAGCTTTTTGGCGACCCTCGAGAGAGCCGCTAAGCTGGAGATAAACTACCTGTTTAAGAACAGTGTAGAGGCAGGTCAAGCTTTTAGCGATCTGTGAGATGATTCACCTCGATTGGACCTGTTGATTTCCTCAGCATTCATAAATTTTTGAACTTTTGTCAATAGTTCTGGCATGCTCTTTGGTGGGAGTTTCATCACAGAGAAAAGGAAGCTCGATGACCGAAGGCCTCCTAAGAAGGCGGTCATGCTGACTTTTTCATCGGGCTCTTCGACCTGAAGGACCTCCTCATTAAAACGAGTGAGGTAGCTTCGCAGGCTCTCATCTCGGTCCTGCTTTATGCTGAGTAGATGGGTGATAGGCTTTTGGTGACGGCGTCCTCCAATAAAGTGCAACACGAAGGACCTGCTCAGCTCAGTAAATGAGCCGATGGAAGTGGGGGTGATCTTGGCAAACCACTGTCGAGCGGATCCCTTCAAGATGGTTGGGAACGCTCTGTACATGATTTCGTCAGGGATGTTGTGCAGTTGCATCAAGGTCTTAAAAGTTTCAAGGTGGTCCAATGGATCCTTCATACTATCAAAGGTTTCGACGGATGACATCTTTGAGTTTTTGAGGGAGTGGGTAGTTCGCCACGTCAGGTTTGAAAGGTGTGTCGGTTCGACTTACAAGGTAATCCACTATCTCGGGTCCTCGTACCTTCTTGGCGTTGAAGACATCACCCAATTGATTCTACACCTCCTTAATTTTTTTGTCTCAATAATTCGGAGGAGGTCCCTTAGAATTACCATGGATATGGCACCCATGTGGGTAGCTCCTTGACGCCCAGGATGTGGAGCTCCTCTGACTTAAGGTCTAGGTTGTGCTATTCCTCCTAGATGAGGAACACCCATGTAGGGAGCTCCTTGATGCCTAGGGCATGGAGCTCTTCTGACTTGAGGTCCAGGCTGTGCTCCTCCTCCTAGATGAGGAGCGCCCATGTGGAGAACTCCTTGACGCCCAAGGAGCATTAGTTGTAGGATTTGTTGGTTCTGGGCCGCAAGTTGCTGCATGGTCTCGAGCATCTGCTGCTTATTTGAGGCAGAATTGGTTGGTTGAGGAGCAACCTCCTCCTCACTTGGTGGTGGATTATCTTCAAGCTAATTCATGGATCTGTTGGTGATCGACCTCCTCCTCTCTTGGTGGTGGATTATCTTCAGGCTAATTCATGGATCTGTTGGTGATCGACTTTAACTCAGCAAAGGAAAATGGCTAGGTGAGAACTGTCGTTCCCACAGACAGCGTCAAACTGATGATGCACAAATTAGTTTGCACATCACTAGTCAAGTTATAATATAAAATGCAGTAAGTAGAAGAAGAGAAAAGACAGGATTTATACTGGTTCGGTCAATACGACCTACGTCCACTTTGAATGGCTAGGTTCGCCGGAATTTTATTATCTCCGGTGTGGAGGGAGAGCACATGATTACAAGCTTTGAAAGGGGATGAGAGAATTATGCTCAAATGAGTCTGATGCCCCCCAAGTGTTGGGGGAACTTACAATTTATAGTGGCTTGACATAGTAATTGTATGACTAGTCTGACGGTCATAATGGCTTAGGACCGTTTGATAGTAATTAGGTAGCTGATCTGGCGGAGGCGACCTATCATCTTCTCAACAAGCGAGGTGGTGACGGTTGGTGTGCTCTCCAAAGGACTTGTTCAAGGATGAAGGAGGTTGATTCTCTCTAGGCTGCGAGGGTGAGGCTCCTGGATGCTCCCTTGGTGACGTAGAGGAGACTCTTGGATAACCCTTACTCCAAGGTGGTAGAGGAGGAGGCTCTTGGATGGCCTTGCCTGCTCCTTGCTGATATAGTAGCTCCTTGAGCCTGATGAGCTTGACCGGGTTGACTACATTGGGTTGAATTTGTTGGATCTCTTAGAGTTGGGCTATAAACTCGGACCGGGCTTATAACACAAGTTGGGCCTTTGGGCTTGGCCCATCAGGATACACATGTATATATATAGATGCCATTACACTCCATTCGTTATGCAACTTAGAGCAGCATAGCTACATCACTCCACTATTAACAAACTTCACTAACAGAAATCTAACTGCCTAACTAATCTAACTTAATCACGTGGGTTATTGAGTTCTTGGTTTCTATTGCATATAGCTGATACGGTGAAGTCGAATATATACATATTCTGCCACTGTCTTTATGCTAAAAAACATTGCTAATAATTCAATTTACGACTCTAGGTATAGATAGCCATCCAAACTTTGCAACAAATTACTCCTTTCAGTCATTTCATCTGTACATAAGAATATGTATCCTTAGCTCGCAAGTAATCCTACAAAGAGAAGCCAAAGTGGTGCCTCCCAATACCTAATTCCAAAATTGAAATCTTTCAAAATTATTTGCAGTAGTTGGCACACATATTTATCTAGCTTCACTAACCTCTGAATTTTCCACATTTCCCATCACCCAACTATACTTGGCTGCAATAACACAATTTAAAGCTTAGATACTTCCCAAGCGATGTGTAATTTATCAATTAAGAAGTGATAATCAAATAAACCCCCATAACAACCACAAAACATCATACTTTGTACCAACTTTTGGTCATGGTATCTGTGATGGCCCAAGAAAACAATAGCAGTAAGACAGATTCTATACAGTATCTCGTTGTTTCTAATTGTTATTTACGCAGTGGTAGGACACACTCAAGTTTAAAAATGCTGACAAGTTCAAGACGTAGAGATATAATCGTTTTCTTACGGATATACAAAACAAAGAATCACATACCCATATAACTTCCTTCCAATTTTTCGTTAATACATCAGAAGATCACTACAACATACATCAATATACATTAAATAGGCGTTGGAATTGTCAGGATATAGTTTTGCTGTCCCTCTTGAAAAAAATAATAATACAAATTTAAGACTTAAATGCACATATATTTTCTCCTCCTCAAAGAATATTTTCTTAGAAAACAAACGCACCCATTTACTAAATCCAGCAGTACCCAGTTTCAATTTCCAGTAAATTGTTCATTAACCATTTCCGATTTTCCCCAAAAGCAAAGAACAAGACTAGCACAATTTAATTGAGTAGAGAAGAAAGTAGTAGTAAAAAGAAGGATACGGGGTTCTGGAGTGCTTATCTCTGGAATTAATGGCCAAAGGATTTGAGCTGCATATTGTCTGCACAGCGAGCAAGTCTCCTGATCGAGCGGCCGTGTGAAGATCTTCGTTCGAATTTGATGGATTCTTTGGATTTCCCATTCTTGTTCTCTCTCGACTCTTTTTAACCCTCCTGTGTTTTTTCGGGGAGAGAGTAAAATAAAATGTACTTTCCACCTCCTGTTCTCAATCTTTCTTCTTTCTGAATTTCCCTTCAATTTCCTTCCCTTTTTCTTTCCACCTCACAAATTCTTATTTTTTTTAAACCCAAATTTAAATTTAGATAAAAAAAACTCTTGAAAATTTTCTTCAACACTAAATGCATACACATATCAAATCAAGAAAGACTTATTTTTTTAGTTATATATATTTGAATTCAAAATTAAAAAATTTAAAATATATATGTACTCTAGTAATTGTCCGTGCCTGAAGGCACGGCGTAACGAAATCAAAATAGTCTCATGTAACCTAAAACTCAAAGAATCTTATATTACCTAAAGACTCTTTGCAACCTAAAACAACCTGTCAATTTGAAATCAAAGTAGTCCATAATAATATTCGAAAATTTCGGCATAATTTTTTTTAAAAATAGCAACTTTTAAAAATCTAAACCTATTTACAAAACTTACAATTATACATAACAATCATCATAATTCACTTTACCACCACAATAATCAATACACACTCAATTATCAACATATATCCAACCACCAAAACATCAAGCTAGTCCTTACTAATTTCAAGAAATTTGGGCAGAATTTTCTCTAAAAATATAAGCCCAAAAAAATCTAAACATGTCTATAAAACTTACAATTATACATATCACCACAATCATCATACATAACAATCATCATTATTCACTGTACCACCACAATAATCAATACATATTTAATCATCAACACATATCCAACCACCAAAACATCAAGTTAGTCCCCACTAATTTCAAGAAATTTGGATAGAATTTCCTCTAAAAATAGAAGTCCAAAAAAATCTAAATCTGTCTATAAAACTTACAATTATACATATCACCTCAATCATCATAATCATGTATAATTAGTTAACTGTACAAAAAATAAAACACAAAAAATATACACATGCATAAATAGAGAAACACATTCAATTTCATCTTCATATCCTTCCATGTATACCTGAAAATATTTGAAATATAATCAATTATCGAAATATATGAGGCAACATAAAACAATTATAAATCCGAAACATAAGACCCCTTACTTTTATTGTTAGTTGGATTCAACATAAAATTGATAATTATATCACTGTCCCAAATTTTGTCGCAAGTGCCACAAACACATTTTAGAGAAATAAGCAAGTATATTTCCTAAAATATGAGATGAAAAATGCGAGTGATCTTGGTTAGTGGAAAATCATCTCACTCAGCAAGACTTTGGAACCAAATATGACCCAATAAACCCACAATCTCTTTCCCAACTGTCAAACAAAAACCAACTATTTTTTAATGAATCACCAACAAATATTAGGTTGGCGAGATTTTGAAAAACATTTATCCACTTTAAATCAATAAAGTCATCCCATAATATCCTTCTAAGCATAAAACCAAATTCAGCATAATTTGATTATACAATTGTTGAAATGTTCGAAATTTCATTCTAAGGGATTTAACATATTTCCCATTAACACATATCTAAAGATGTCAAATTGTGTGTTTGTTAATATTCATTTATTACGAATTCAAGACCAAATGGCATGGAATCCAACCAATCTGGATTTACAGAGACTCAATTCCTGCTCCATTCTCACTGTTAGTTAAAACCTAATCACATAACACGAATGCTCTGTTCCTTCCCTTAAATTCCGCAATATTGTAGTAATTTTTTTAGTGCAAAAATCCACAAATCAATCGGAGCAAAAAATGCCCCGAATTCAATTCAATGTAGTAAAAAACCTATGCAATTGAGCAGTGAAACTACCGGAATTGGACAGAGAATTGGTAGTTCTTCCGCATGAAGTAGCAGTGGCTGTTTGAGACGAATAACGGAGTCTCCTTTGCAAAGTAGATACTACTTGAGTGTTGTTGGGGCTGCATAGATTCCAAACCAAACAAACCCAGAAAACAGGTCAACTGCATGACATATTTGTTCACTAAGTATATAGCAGCAAACCATGGATAGTTATGAGAACTAAACAAATAGACATATTAGTACCCTGTAGATCATCATTTAAACATGAAATCAAATGACCAACATAAAAAGTTAAATACAACAAAATAAAAAAGCACAACCTCAGTAGCAAGGTAGCTTCATAGAATCCATTCTTGGTCTACGACAACACCAACTAACATAAGTTCTAAATTCTAAATTTCACACAAACCAAGACAAAGGAATGGCAATAAAACAACAAATTGACTAAACACAACTCGATATAAGAAATTAATGATATGTCTTTATTGTCAATCCAACACACCCCATCTATCCATCCATCCATATATATAGACAGGAGGAATAAAACTTGTGGCAACTCTATGCGATGGAAGAAACTTGCAATATCTCTTTATTGCCAACCCAACACAATAAAGAAAAGTTGAAGCAAAAAAAATAAGTCGTAATCTAAGTTGAAGTCGCAATAATCTCAAATGCAATTGATATAAATCATTCCCAATTTTAAATTTGTCATCTAAGTTGAAGCAAAAAAATTTCAATTGATATTAAATCATTCCCAATTTCAAACAAATAAGTCATAATTTTAGTTCAAAGAAAAAGTTCATAATCTACATAATTCACAGCAAGCAATTTATATTTGTATCCGGTCATGAACTATGCTTCTATACCAATAAAAGTCAATGCGATGAATAAACGTTTGTATAAAAAAACTAAACCTTAAGCAACAAACTAAACTAACAACTAAGTATCAAAAAAATGAACTCGCCATGCAAAAGTAATGTAGTAATCAACATAACAAAAACAACACAATAAAGAAAAGTACTTGAAGAGCACTTAAAATACTATAAAATATAAGCGGAACTGTATTCAATGTCAGTATGCACAATTTCCCCATAAATTCTGTAACAATTGTTCCATGATTCCTCTAAAAATAGAATCCTATAAAAATTTCAACCTGTATGCACAATTTAAAGTCTAAAAGGCTACTAATCGACTCTTAGATTTTTAAAGTCACAATTAAGAACAAATCTAAATGCAACATATGTAGCTGATTGCTATATCAAAGAGTAACCATACGTAACTGATTGCTTTTAGAGTAACCATATCAGAAGCAACATTCTCCATCCCTAGTATAGCTGAATAGTAACTGATTACTTTTAGAGAGAGAAGATATGTATCAGAAGCATTGAACAGATATGTACCAAAGCATTGAATAACAAAAATTTTTTTAAAAAAAAAATCCAACATTGATCATGAACACAAAAAAATCAAAAACTGAATATGGGCACACATTAGGCTCAACCAAATCATTGAACGCCTAAACTACATGCTCAACAAAGCATTATCTGTATAAAGATTCTCATGAAAACAAATTTTAATGAAGAGATAGAGACAACTCAATTACATAAATTTAAACTGAATGCACTTGAAAGCAATTCTCCAAACACAAACACAATGCTATGGCACACAGAAAATATTTGAAAGCTCAGAACATAAAAATCGAAGGAGATGCAAGAGAGGGAGATGCGAAATAGGCAAGAATAAAAGAAGTTAGAAGGACAATAGAGAGAACGAAGATATGAGAGAGTGCAATAGATGAGAGGGGCAGTAAACATGAGAAATGCACTTGCACTCTAACTAAAAGAATATGATAAACAAAAGCCATCATTCTCAGAAAAACTAAAAACTAACTAAAGCATAAGTTTTTTAGTGTCTCACAGGCTCAAGAGGTCCCAAATCCAGAAAGACAAATAATTGGATGTCGTACATGTTTCATCATTGCAACCTCATGAACAAAAGGAAAACTAAAAAAACCAAAAATAGTGATACCAAGAAAATCAAATAGTTAATAAGAAAACTATAGGAAGAGCTATCCCCAATTTCAGGTTAAAAGACAAATATTTTCACTAAAGCAAATTATAGGTAAAACATACCTCACTCTGAAAATACTTGAAGTGCCCTTAATGAAAATCTTGCTTCATGAGAATTGTGACTGTGACATTCTAAGATTTACAAAAAAAAAAGGATTGAAATTAGATGTGAGATGTGAGATCTATGTGTGTTGTGTGCATGAGATGAAAAAAAAGAGGTGAGACAGAGAAAGATGAATTTGGCAGATTTGGCAGAGGGCATGGCCCTTTGAGTGTCTAACAGGCCACATGACCGTTGAAAAATAAAATGAAATATTAAGTTAATAAATTAAGTGTAAATAGCATGTAGACCAAATTTATTATTTGAATTAGTCCTAATAATAGTTACCTTAGGATTGGTAATAACAGGAGCCAAACCTGTGACTGCGACCCCTGTGAAACCATTATAAACCAACTGCCACGTGTAGCCACAGCAGCGTCTGCTCCTTCTGCATGGTTCGCCTTCGACTCATCGGCAATTATCGTCGTTGCAGTGTTTGCAAGGCTGAGTCCACTTTTATCTTCGTCACCAGGGTAAGTAATTAGTAAGAGAATAGCCTTTCCTTTTTCACTCATACCTAAAACAACATACTTGTTCTCTTTCTTACTTATATAGTCTCTGATCAATTGATACATTATATTGGCGTATGCACATTCTTTCCTTTAGTCATCATGAATCGGCGATATTATGCGAGAATAAATAGTTAATCCACTTATGTACTATGAAGCACATAAATTTCTTTTGCTTTGTGGGATATTGCATCGAATTTAGAAACGACTGGTGGAGCAATATGTATACTTTTTAATTCGAGTTTCTATCATGAAAAACCTGTATGGCTTTAATGTTCTTAATGTCTTAGCAACAAGTACTGTTAAGCAAATTAGTTTGTCATGTTCCTTTAATTAGTCACTTAGGTGTGTACCATGATGATATGATTCTGTGAGAGTAAAATTATTTATTAATTTAGTAAAAGTCAGATCCATCAAATTGTCAAAAAATAATAAAAAAACATAGCCTATGGTGTATTGTCAACTTTTCGTGGCCATATTTGTGCCCACATCCTCTACTCTGTATTGCAAATGGTGTTGTTATATTTGTGCCCTAATTTTCAGATTTTTCGTGGCCATATTTGTGCCCTAATTTTCAGATTTTATTGCAAATGAGCATTACCTTTCTTGCTACTTAACTTTTTCTCTTGTCTTTTGAGGTCTCTTCTTTTAGGCTTTTGGAGAATATACAAGAATGATAAGTGACAGTGTAATTAAAAAACAATCGAGCACTGAACTCGGACGCGTATTAAGGAAAAAAATTTATCAACTCGACGCCCAAAGAAAAAAAGGAAAAAAAAAACTTATGGGCATAATCAACTTTCAATTGAGAAATTTTCTTAAATCCATAAACCTTTATAGAGTTCAAACAAAATAGATCACATTCAAAGTGGTATGAAACTAATTGTTCAAGGGATATAAAAATACATTAAAGAGACTAAATAAATTTATAGGCTCTATAAATCAAAAAAAAAAAAAGGATAGTTTTCCCTCAAAATAGGAATTTAGAAATTTCCAGCTTGTATACACAATTTATATGTTTTATCACTATACCTAAAAGGCTAGTAATCAACTTTTAAATTTTTATAGCTCCCATGGAAAACTAATCCACAAACACAGAAGATTGACAACTTTGAATGCAAAACCCAGACATAAGATAATGAACAAAATCATATTAGTTTTACTTAATCACCAAACAAAACCAAACGAAATTATATTTTACTCAATCATTAACTGAGACAAATTACACAAACTAATGAATTATAAACAAAAACTCAAATTAAAACACAACCAACAATCATAAATCATATTAAAGACAGATTGGGAGAGAAGTAGAGAGTTGTGAGGTACCTGACATGCTGTTCGCGCAGAATGAGCAGCGGAGTGAGAAATGAACAGCAGAGATATAGCAGCCAGAGAGAGAGAGAGTCACCTATAAATCCCATGTGCAAATCAATATTTACACCGAGTTTCTTTATTTTTTGAATGCAATACAAACCCTAAATATGGTATTTTTTTTTCCTGGTATTATAGTCCGGGTGTTTGAACTAACTTTTTGGCACTTTGATTTCTCTATTCTTCAGTACAATCTATCAAAAGTAGACCATACGTTAAGATTAAAAAATTAAAGAGAATAAATACATCTGGCCCAAGTAGTCTGGGTTTATGTCGTCATTGGGCTACCATTGAAGATAAATACCCTTTGATGAACATGAACAAAAGAAGCAAAGATGAAGAAAATTTGGGTCTCTGATTCTTCAATTCCATTCGATATCGTCTTCTCCACGCTCAAAACCTTACCAGCGGGAATTAATCACCGACCCTCTCTTCATCGAGACTCACCAAACTCATTCTCAAACTCGACCAGAAGCTACCCACCTTCTGATTCACTACACCAATTCAATGTTGAATCAGTACACCTTCGCTGCAAATCACCATGGAAAGGTTTCTTATGAACTTCCAACCCTTCAATTTCGTCAATGGTTTAATCTCACCACTTGCGAAACAACCACACTACCTATAAATAGGAGTGTTCAGTTGTGTGTGTGTGTGTGTTTCTCTGAGTGCGTGGGGTGGGTTTTTTGGTGGGGGTTGGTGGGTTGGTTTTGTAGACGGGGTAAGGGTGAGGGGTTGCGCAGAAGAGGGAGAGAGATTGAGGGGGTTTGTGTGTGTGTGTGTGAGAGAGAGAAACAGAGAAGAGGGAGAAATACTTGGGTTTGGTGGTTGGGGTGGGTGTGAGGAAGAGGAGGGAGGCGTTGAATCGGCGTCGGACAACCAGAGATTATTGCCTTTTCCTCCGCCGCTTGATGGTGGTTAGCGGTACCTTCACCTATCGGCTCTGATACTGCAGTGATGATTTTCTATTGTTGTTAATTTTGAGGTGGGTTTGTCACCGGACCTCTTCAAAATCGAGCGTGACCAATTCTGACAGTGGCAAAGAGCAAAAAGACTGAGATGAGAGAGAAGAGATTTGGGGAACAACTGTTGGGTTGGGTTGAATTGGGTTGGATGTGATGATTGGGTTGGTTAAGTTGAATGAGATGGATTTAGGAGGAAAATATATGGACTTTTGAATTTGAATGAGATGTATTGTGAGCCTTTGGATGATGAAGCTTTTGGTTGAATGAAGACCGTACGATCGACTTATTGAAACCCCGCTCTGTTTTATATTATAGATATATCCATATATACATAAACACCGACACAATTCATACATAGACTTTGGTGAATTATTTTTGGTGTCACTATTTTTTGAATTATTTGTGGTGTCACTTTTTGCATTTATAATATAAACCACAAATATATGAATTCAATTTTTGTTGTCATTCTTTATTGTTTCTATTTTTTGAAATGTTTGGTTTTTGATGTTACTCTATGCTGCCAATTTTTGTAGTCATGAAATAAAGTAAAATACTTGATATAAAAAATGAATGAAAGATCAACAATGTTCAAAATTACGAAAAAAAATGGCTTATTTCGTGATATAAAAAAAATGAATAAAAAAATTGAACATGTCGAATTAAAGAAAATCGTAAGTTTTCAATTAACAACCATCTTATATTCATATTTTAGAGAAGAAATGCAACTATTTATCTTAATGCATGAAAAAATACAGGACACCTTAATGTTTACTAATTCTTAGGTACCGAGAGAGAATTGATTAGTTTTGTTTAGAATAGAAAAACTTAGTTGAAGGTTCTGAGTAGTCAAGTCAAATCGATTGGCATGATAGTATTAATCACTGGAGCGCTCATTGTGTCTCTTTATAAAAGCTCCTTATTTATATTTTCTCAATCGTCCTATAAACTAGTATATGATCCTTTCGTGTCATTCCAATCAACTTGAATTTTTGGAGGCACTTTCTGTGTAGTAGTCAACTTCTTTCTCGCACTCTTATTAGTTGTCCAGGTAACACAACTCTTTCTGCAATTTTCTCTATGCAACAACTAATCTCATTTGGAGAAATATCAAAGATTAAGCACTAATCTTTCTCACATCTATGCAGGTAAGGATTATTCGAGACTATCCTGCAGAGCACATGGTAACCCTCATTAGCTGCACATTTGTTACTTTGCAATCAGCTTTTGTTGCTCTAGCTGCTGAAAGGGATCCAAATGCTTGGAAACTCAGACCCGATCTCGAGTTATTTGGTATGCATTTGAAAGGACCCATAATTTAACCTCAAGTGGCAGCTTTACAAAAGGACATATGGAGCTATGCTCAATTGCTCTTAGTGGTGAAATTTCAAGCAACACGGATGATTCAGAACAAGGCTGCCCATATGCTTGCAGCTTATGCTAGAAGTGAGAGACTTAGGAGTTGTTTGGTACAGGGGTTTTGGGGGGGGGGGGGGAGGGGTGGTTTTGGAACATGGGTTGGAGAATAAACTCCCTCAAATCCATGTTTGACAAATACACATCTAGCCCAGGGTTTGAAACCTAACTCGGTTTATGCCCGGTCATGAAATCCATTGGGAGGGGTTTCATTTGTAGGTTAATGAGTTTAACATCCAAATGACATTTATACCTCTCATATATCATATATATCTCATATTGGTTAAATGACACAATAGTCATTTATATATAAATATATTATCATAATAATCATATATCTCTGTGCATACCAAACATGGATATGGACACCATTGTACGATTGATCAGCCTTCGCCGCAGGCAGGTGCAAACTGTCGGGTATCATGTACGGCCGCCCGCGAGAGCCTTAACAAAAGAAAAATATGTTTGATAAGGCATTGATTCGGCATGTACTACAAAAGGAGGTTGCTCAATTGGGTTTGGAAGGGTTTGAATAAAGTAATTTAAACCCCTCTCAAAAAACATAGAGGCCCTTAATGTACAAGGTAAGGATAACTTCCGTCCCCTGTAATGTATATTGCTAGGCTGGAAGCTAGAAGAGGAGTAAGATGTGTGAATCAAAATATAAAGGGTACTATGTTTCTTATTTATAAAATTTTATATTTCCTGACAAAAAAAAAATTCTTGTAACAGTATCTGATTGATGTGCTGCTTAATTCTGATATCTAGGTAATTCTTTTGGTTTCACTTCGAAGTGTTGTTCTCGCTTGGGCTTTGCGCAAGAAGGGGCCTGTCTTTTATTACAATGTTTAAGCCACTTGGCATGGTCATTGCAGTTGTCATGAGTATTACTCTTCTTGGGGAAGCTTTGTACATTGGAAGGTGAGGTATTCTGATTTTAATTCTTAAAAAGGGCCAAAGTTTCAAGGTCCATGGCCCCGACTTGTTGGGTATCAGGCAGTCCATGGCCTGCCCCACGACCTGTTGGGGTCCCCGAACTAACGGATTAGCTAATTGGGTAAATGATGAAAGAAGAAAAAAAAATAATAGTTAATTGCACTGGAAGTCCCCAAAATATATTGTTTATCTCATTTTAATCTTTAATATTTTAATTGCATCATTTTGGTTGTTAAAATATTGAATATCTATATAATAAAGTAGCTTACAAGTCAAATTTTAAAAGATAAATAAAATGACTTTTGCTATTCGCGGTTGAGATCACTTTAAATTTTATTTTAAAGTTAATCTAACAGCTAATATTAACACCTTAAATTTAATAGGAAAAATTGGAGCCTAAGAATGTGTTTGAAGTGACTTTTTAAAAGTACTTTTATAAATTATTTCTTATCAATACTTTTTAAAAAATATTGTTTGAAACCGTTCCATTACTACTACTGTCGCCACCACTGTCGCTACCACCGTTTCCGTCGTCACTGTCGTTGTCGTCGTCGCCACCACCGTCGCCACCACCGTCGCCGCCGTCGCTGCCACCACAGTAATTGTCATCCACCACCACTGTTGTCCACCACTTCTCACCCCCACTACAACCCGATGTTTAAATTCATTTTGATCTCCTCTGTGTTTATGATTTGATTTTGAATATGAATACAAATATGTTTATTGTTTACTATTTTTTATTATTCTGTACCTTCAGACATATGCAATAACTAGTATTTTTATATTGTCACTTAAGTAGACAATGTTTAGATTGTTAACGATTTTTTATGATAAACTTAATACGTGATACTTAAATATTGACAAAAAAAATAATTTAAATAACTCCTGTATAAATTTCTATTCAAATTTTGGTTAAATAACTACCTAAAACCTAAATTACACATATTTGATCATGATTTATCCAAATGTTGGTTAAAAGCTACTTATATTACACATTTTTTTTTGTTAAGAGTCCCCAAATTTTATTTAAGAGCTATCAAAATTATTTTTTATTCATATTTTAGTATTACATGACAAGTTTATAATAAAAAAATTGTTAACAATCGAGGGTTTGTCTGTTTGAAGAATCATATAAAAATATATTTAATATTTTATGGACTAAAATGATACAATTGAAATATTGAAAAATAAAATGAGACAAATCATACACTTCATACACTTCTATTGCACTTAATCCAAAGAATAAATACAAATTAGTATTTATTGTACTGGAAAGTGACAGGGTGGTCATGTCATGTTGTCTTTATGTCATTTACGTTGAAATTTTGTTAAAATTGGATTTATCCAAGCACAGCATGAGTCATCAATCGTATTAAAATCTCCTACTATAGGTAGTGTAAACAATTATACAATATATTCGTGTAAAAAAATGTGTATAAAAAAAGGACAAAAATTAGCATTTTTCAATAAAAAATGGCTGAGATGAGTTATGCAAGTCACATTCATGTTGGCGTCATGAATTTGTCCAAGTAGTGTAAATTATATTTTATACCCTAAAAGATTTTAAAATTTTTATTTTACATTATCAAAGATTAATTTTTTTATACTTCACCCGAATATATCAAAAATGTCGCAATGTGACCTTACTGTTAATTTTTTTGTCAGTTTAACGTGTGACTTTTGACGGGAAAAAAAAAAAAGTTAACCAAAATACCATATTGCAATATTTTTTATACATTGAAGTTGTAATATGAAAAATTAAATTTTTAAAGATACAAAATAAAAATATTAAAATCTTTCACGGTGCAAATTGCGAAAGACCTGTCAAAAAAATAATCCAAAACGCTCTGATCCCGAATTCATTACCTGGTGTGGGGTTTATGTTGTGTTGGCTTTATGGGGTCAAAATAGACACCACCACTTATGGGTCACCTTTTTTTTTTTTTCTTCTTTTGCCGCCAATTGTCCTAGTTTAGAGTTCTACACCATAGAGGCCGAAAATTATAAAAAAGACGTGTATTGTGAACTCAGACTATTCTGAATTTGATTCTTGATTATTTTTCGGGTTTAAGCAATAGTTTTACTTGGCAAGTGATTGTCAGTCTAACCTTGCCCTAATCAAATTTTTTGTCACGGGTGAAAAAAGTTCAAATGATAATAAAGACGAATTATTAATTTAATTTTTATAAATTTAAATTTTGTCAATTTTTTGAGAACAGATTATGAGGAATTTATCTATCATAAATACTCTAGTCCTGACATAGATCACATTCTTTTGATCAGATTAAGAAATAGACTAGTCAAGATACGTGGAAATTAATTCCAACACTCCAGACGGTCGAAAAAAGAAGGGAAAAAAAAAAAAAAAATTCGTGCATCGTCCCAGGTGCAATCATCCATGTACTTGTGCAATTATTCCCTGTTTGCCGGATATTCTTGGATTACTAAATAAAGGAGGGGATTATGATAGAATTTTATTGGATTATGATTGAATTTTGGTTAATTCATAACATCAACCAAATCGATTATTAAAATATTAAGTTGATTTCAAACTAACTCATTGTGTGATAATTATATTAATCAAATTGAATGACAAATTTACTTTTATTTTGCATTAATTTGTTAGTAAATTAAAAAGAAGGATATGTATTACAATTAAGTTTTAAACGTTGTCTTTTATTTTAAAATAATTTATAAACTTTTAATTGTTTTAATTTATTCTCTTAACTATTAATTTACTATAATAAAGTCATTCCGTTCGTTGCACTCCGTAGAACAAACAGAGGCAAAGCCCATATGTTTTTTGGGCCTCCATTGTGGGTGAGACGGAATGTAAGAATTTCATTAACATAAAATTGATATTTTATGGACTAAATTAAGATAACCAAAAGTTTAGAGATCACTTTAAGAGCATATTTAACTCTAATTCTGACTCAAATTTAAATTTGAGTCTAAAAGGTTTAAAAACCTTTTCTAATCTTGGACTCAAATATATACCAAATAAAAAAAAATAAAAATTGATAAGCTAGGCCCAAGGGCCTAACTTAGGTTATGAGCCCAGCTTGAATAAAGAACCCAACTAGACGTGATCTGATAGGTTCAGCCCAAGAGAGGGTCACGCCCAGTCAAGCTCATTAGGGTTTAAGGAGTTATATCATTAAGAAGTAGGCAGCGCCATCTCAAGAGCCTCATTTACGTCGCCTTGGAAAAGGTCAACCACATCATCATTTGACCTGATCTTAAAGGGAGCTCCGTAACCGCCTTAGCTATTGAGAGGATAGTGCCAACTCCACCAAATTAGCTACATAATTATTGAAAAGGCGTTTTAGTTTGTTGATAGGCACTATAAATTATAAGCTCCACAAACGCATGGGGGAATCGCTCACATCTTGTATCACTCTCATCTTTCTCATAGCTTGTACTTCTTATTGCTCTCCTTATGCTTCTACAGCAATAAAACACTCAGACCATCATAACCCTTCACAGTGGAGTAGGTCACATTGACCAAACCATTTAAATTATGTGTTATTTGTGTTGAGCTCTCTCTACTTAAATACTGTATTAATTACTATTCACTTTACAGATGATGTATAAAACTAATTTGTGCATCATCAAAAATTATTTTAGACCAAAATTGAAGAAGATTCAGGGCTTATTTGGTTTGCGTTTCAAAAAATAGTATTCGAAAATAGTTTTTGAGAAGAGTTTTAAGAAATTGGTTCTGATATTTTTTGAGATAAAAAACTTGTTTGATTAGATGATTTTAAAAACAATTTTACAATACAGAAAATAGTAAAACTTATTTGGACAGCCTACATATGTGTGAACAATAATTCAAACATTAATAAAAAAATATAAAAAAAATTATTTTTATATTGACAATTTCACAATATATATATATATATATATATATATATATATATATATATATATATATTGGTGTATATATCAATATCTGAACATCCAAAATTGTTCTCCTTGTTTCTAAAATTTTTGAAGAAAACTCTGAAAACAAGTTACACTTGTTTTTTGTTTTTTTGACTCAAATCTCATTTTTTTTTTCAAAATTTAGAGAACAAAAAAGTTAAATAAACATGCTTTGCGTGTTTTTGAAATTTTGAGAACAAAAAACTATTTTGTAGAAGCTAACTAAACACGCCCTCAAATTCTTACAAAATTTTCAACAGTAACTTTTTACCCTATCTAGAGCCCAAAAGATTTTTTCGACTTGTTCTTTGCCTCTCTTTTGTATGATGCTTCAGTCGCTGACCACTACCAAAGTATTCACAAATCCTTAAGGACTTGTAGGATAAGTTTTTTCTTTTTTATCTTTCATCATTTTGATTTCTTGTATTTTTCAAAACCCTAATCTCACTAATATTTTATATTATATAAACCCTAAGTCTATCCCATCAAATTTTTCTATGATTTTTTTGAGTTAAACACTGACGATAGTGTAATTTCAGGCTTCACTACCCATAAATTTAAGAAAGTTGTCACTTTATTTCTTCAATCATTAATTTTTGTTAAAAACAATCCGTTTGTTTTGTTATTTAGACTAGACCCATGTCAAAACAACTACGTTTTTTTGTCTTTCTTTTTATTTATATGAATTTAAAGAATAAAATAAGGAATTAGAACAATCTAAAAATTCTGAAGCGTCATTCTTTTATTTTTTCTGTTTCATTTTATTCATAGGTGGTCGTGTATCCATATCCAATTTTTTTTGAATTATCAATTTTGTGGAGAGGTATGAAAGTTTCATTTATTTTATCAAATTTTATGATTTGAATGATACACAAAAAATGAGCTTTGAGATAATAAAAACTTTTTAAAAATAATTTGAGTACATATTTAAGTTTATCACTTGTAATAATCTATACCAAATTAAATTTTAGACTCAAATTTAAGTCACGATTAAAAATCCTCGTAAGAGACAAAACTTAATAATTAATTAATGTCAATAACAATGTTAGCAGTGTGGAACATGATTTACAGCTGTAGTGCATTGGGAACCATTTTTCTTTTGGGTTAATCTCGTTTTATACCTCAAAAGATTGTTCGAATTTTAATTTATACCTTCAAAGAGCAAAAATTTCAATTTGTACCCTCAAAGATAGAGATTTGTATCAATGTGCACCCCCAAAGATCAAAAATTTCAATTTGTACCCTCAAAGATAGAAATTTGTATCAATGTGCACCCCCAAAGATCAAAAATCTTAATTTACACCCTCAAAGATAAAAATTTATATCAATGTGCACCCCAAAGATAAAAAATCTCAATTTACACTCTCAAATATAAAAATTTGTATCATTATGCACTTAAACGTCATGAGATGTAAGGGTAATATTCTAAATATAAAGGAGTTCAAATGATTAAGTGACAAACACGAGGGGATTTAAGTATAATTTATCAATTTAATTTTAGGTGCACACTGATACAGATTTATATCTTTGAGGGTGAAAATTGAGATTTTTGATATTTGGGGGTGTACATTGATATAAATTTCTATCTTTGAGGGTATAAATTGAGATTTTTGATCTTTGAGGGTGTAAATTAAAATTCGAACGATCTTTCAGGGTATAAAATGAGATTAACCCTTTTCTTTTTTATATCCGAGATTTCTTCTAGATTGTAAGCATTTACTAGGAGAGAGAGAGAGAGAGCGAGAGAGAGAGAGAGTTGCCGGGATGAGGAATTCATGGATAATAGCAATATTGGTGGCGACAGAGTGTGCTGATGTGGGCTTAAACACGTTAGCAAAAGCAGCCACGAATCAAGGAATGAGCGAGTTCGTCTTCGTTGTGTACTCATACGCCACGGCCTTGCTCTTCCTGCTACCTTCCACCTTCGTTTTTCACAGGTCTGTAAATTTTCATTATCTCCGTCCATCACAATCTCTCTATAATTCATACTAAAAACTTACACCACAATATCTATGAATTTTCATCTTTTTTTTTCTTTTCTTATGTATTTCCAGAGTCAGGCCATGCCCTCCACTCACCTTCTCCATTGTTTGCAGAATCTTTGTTCTTGGCCTTCTCAGGTACCTCAACATTTGTCAAATGTTTGTTTATTTATTATTTTTGAGTAAATTACACTTTATATCCTAAACTATTATCTTTGTTTCACTTTACACTCTCAACTATAAATTTCTCACATTACACCCTTAAGTATCAATTTTATTTTATATCACTTTAATAGATAACGACAAATTTGAAAATCTGTCAAAGGAGGAAGCGAAACTCCAAAGAGCTTCCCATCAAGTGTCTAATACCATTTTATTTTATATCTTTTGCAACCAAATGGTTGCTGAGAAGAAAAAAAAGGTCGGTAAAAAAAAGAAAATTTAGAGCGTAGGAAGGGTAAAGTCAGGTATTTTTCCTAATTTTTGACATGCACATGTGTAATAGGCGGCTGCTTATTAATAGTACAAATTACTCACATACACATTTACCATCAAAAAATTGACAGTTGTTGTCTATTAAAGTGATATTAAACAAAATTGATATTTTATTGTATAATATGAGAAATTTTATAGTTGAGGGTACAAAGTAAAATAAAGGTAATAATTCAAGGGAATAAAATATAATTTACCCTCTTTTTTCAACATTTTTGAGCATGGACGATGGACGTGTTATTTTATATTTTTATAAGTTAGTATTAGTTATCTAGGTAGTGAGGTCAATAAATTTAGTAACTATCTTTTAAGTATTATTTTTTTTTATTTTTAAAGACGTAGACGAATGAGAAAGATATCTGATAATTGTGATAAATTTTTTTGTGAAAGTTATTGTGGTAAATTTTCTTGTAAAAAGTTTAGGAAGTCAGATTCCTTTGGAAGTGAACCAACATAAGTTTTTCCATCTCCTCGAAGCGGGTCTCTTTCTCTCTTATTCTACTTTTCTTTTATTTTCTAAATCTTTCAAAATTGTGCATGTAATAAAATAGAACTATCTATGCTGTTGTTTAGTGAGATTTGGCTAGAGCATGCAGTGGGTGTCACGACATGCCGTGTCTTTAAGTTTGGTTGTGTTAAAATTTGTTCAACTTATACTCTAATGTATCTAACCCAAAAACAAAATAATCCGACACATTTATAATTACTACTGGCTCTGGACATGATAATGCTGATTATCCAAGAATGGGATTGAAAGATGGTGAAAGAGACATTGGAGAGAAAAAATAAATTATATTGAATTATGAATGGTTTGAAAGTTATGGGTGATTGGGGTGAAAAAATAGGGATATTCAAGGACTTTAAAATGTGGACATTAAACTCATCTTTCTCCCTTTAATAGTAGTACCAAATGTATATTTGAGTTCATAACATAATGGGTGTCGAGCGGTAGTTTGTTATGTTTAGATGGTTCATATTCGTTTATTTATTTAGACATATATAACAAGTCTATCTATTTATCAATTTTTTATCCATTTACCAACCACATTTATCAACCACATAGATTAGGGTGAAGTTTATCCATTGCATATCTGATTTAATATTGTTATTGAAAAGTGAGAATGATACACTTTCCTTCCTTTGTATTTGGTTAGATGGATGAAAAATAAAAATAATTATTTTTTTTTATGCTGGCTAAGATTAGAGGTGACAATCGAGTCGAGTCGTGTTGTGTCAGATTCCTGTTAAGTCATTACTAGTTTGTGTCGAATATTAGTCAAACCTAACTTAACTCATTTAACTAATTGTGTCGTGTCGAGTTGCGAGTTGACCTGTTTATTTTCGTATCGAGTTCGAGTCGTGTTATCGTGTTGAGTTCAAAATTTTCACCCATAGTTAAGACGAAAAAAAAATGTTTTTTTAATTTAAAAATTTAATTTTTAAAATATATATACATATTTTACCATTGTATTTTTATATGAAATTAATATATACATTAGATATATAGACAAATAAGATACATCTCAAAACAAATAATTAACTCTCCATTTACTTTCCTTCCGATTTTGAAGGGATTGATTTTAGTGAGTTGGAAAAAAAGTTAATCCATCCACTTTTCCATCCTTCTTACTTTCATTCCTCACCAAACATGATGTTTTTTTTATCCCTCCAATTTTTTATCCTTCTAACTTTCTATCCTCCCACTTTTTCATCATACCAAACAGAGCATCAATATTTAAATAGTAACTTTTTATCCCGCTAGTTCCACCCTGAATTTGACATGATTGTAATAGTTAATTACTTGTTTTTATGTTATGGTGCTTTTTGGGGGATAAGTTGTACTGTGCAGTTTTGTATGTATGTTGGGATTGGATACAGCTCTCCAACTCTGGCCTCAGTCATAACAGATCTCACCCCGGCATTTACCTTCATACTTGCAATTATCACAAGGTATGCAATCCTCCTCTCAAGCTAATACCCTTGGATGCCAACAATTGTGAAGTACAATCCATAAGGTTGATTATGTTGTCAAATAAAAGTTGAGACGTAAATTTATATATGATTTTAGTTTAAGTCTATCTGAGTATATAAAATTTCAGTTTAATCAATGCACGTTTTCTTAAGAATAATTAAGTTGCAAATAAAACTCTTTTATCAAAAACAAATAAAAAACCAAAAATGAGTACACTTGAGGTTGGGCATATGCGCTTACCATTAGAAGGGTTCACTTGTAGCGGCTCTTTATACAAAAATAAATAAAAATCCTTATAATTACCCATAAAATGGCACTTCTAGGTTTTAGCCTATTTTATCTGGTAAAACTATTTGTCCCATGCATGATCAAATTTGGTTTAACGATCAAGAGTGTTCGAGTCAGTTTATTAACATAATTTACTAACTCTAATTATACTCGCTACTAATCTAATAACACAATGAATTAGATCAATAAATTATATCCGAAACTAGGCCTTAAGAATTAGAGAAACAAGTTGGATCAATCATTTTCCTCCCATGGATCAATCAACAAAATTATTTTCCTCCAATGTTTTTTTTTTTTTTATCATTTTCCTCAACAAAATTATATTCCTCCTATTTTCAATCAATCATTTTCCCCAGTAAGATATCCTGAAAGATTTTGTTGACTTTTTTTCCGGTGAAAAAGATTGGTATGTTTATATAAACATTTGTTCCCTTTCACCATGTGACTCTTTCATTTTATTTATTTCATTATTTTATTCAATTTGGGACAATGAGAAATGTTGAAAGAAAGAGACCTCTACTAACCAATTTTCAAAAGAAAAAAAAACACTCAATTGGATTTTTGTAAAGTTGCTAATAATTGTTTTTAGGCCCACCACCACAATCATCCCAAAAATAAGTATTATATGCTCGGTTTTTTTTTTTGGGTAAGTATGTTATACTCAATTATTGACCTTATACCAATTCTAAAGGAAACAAAAAAAAAGTTAGTAGGATTTGTTTATTTAGCGGGATAATGGTAGAAAATATAAAAAATAGAAAAATTTTAAAATTTTTATGCGTTTGGTTAGTACACGGGAGATTTTTTGCAATAAATTGAGATAGTGGTTGATCTACTGGTAAATCTGAAACAATCACAAAGTCAGAAAAGGGGTTAGGTGAACACCCGATTTATTCCCTCCGAAGCTCAAGTCAGTATGAGCTTAGAGGCTTGAGCACATTGTAATTTTTCTATTAATTTTGTGTTGCATACATTTGCTTTCTTTTCTGAGGAGTTTTTATACCTAAATCAGTAATGAGTGCTAATTGCCTCAAATCCCATAAGAACCTTCAATGTTTGGCACTCTTATCCATGTGTAATGAGTGTTCTCCACCTAGGTCTTCACATATTTAATGCAAGGATGACAAGACAAGTGCTCAGAGATGTGCCGAGCATTTATATCGATCCCCGAGCGCCCAAGTTCTACTGTTCGGCGTTAGGCACCTACAACTGAACATTAGATTCTCGGGGAACAATGCCTCGGGGCTCACCGAGGAGGTATACTCAACGTAATAGTCATTAATACCTAGCCATCACGACTGTAAGCGTAGGCTCTAAGGATGTTAGCGCTCATTAATGGCCTTGTCTACGTCACTCAAATCGCTATAAATGAGTGGTCAAGTCGTATTAAAGGCGGGTGCCAGCTTGTATACTTTGTTCCTCTGAGTCATCATCTCTCGGCTCTAGTCCTCGGCGTCCTTTGGGCCTCATAACGGCTCTAATTTTACACGTGTCGATCTGGGGGCTGCTGAGTTGCTTAAAGTCCCGCCAGTTGGTATGAAATATAAAATGATAGAAAAAATATTTTTTTTCCAGGTTTAGGTTTTTTACAACTAATTAACTTTTTTTTTCTTATAAAAAATACAAGAAAATTCAAGAATTTTGTGATATATAACTAACTTCTAATTTTATCTTTATTTTTTAATTTTTTTTTTTTATGGCTGTGCCAACATTGCCATGGACATTTTACAAGTCAAAAAAAACATATAATTATCCTCCACCCTAAATCTGTATTGTCTTATGGAAATTATATTTGTTAAGTCACATATTCTTTAGACTCAAGATTAAAACGTCAAGCTCAGATGCATACAGTTATGAACAAACGATTTGTATCGATTACACTTGAAATTTAACTGATTAGAAGACTCAAACTTAGGACGTGCGGGTCTATACCTCATCCCCCATTCGAGAACTATTTAGAGTTTTTACTCCAAATCGCACATAGTAAAGAAACAATGCAACAATTGATCTGAATGCATGAACACCTTAGAGTTTAAGAATATCTATTAGTAACAAACACAATTGGGTATTATTGATTTAGGATGGAAAAGCTAGAATTGAAGGTTCCTAGCAGCCAGGCAAAGTTGATTGGCACAATAATATCGATCACTGGGGCAGTCATTGTGACTCTTTACAAAGGCCCTTCAATCTTATTTTCTCAATCGGCCTCTAAACTAGTATATGAGCCTTTTTTGATGCCGCAATGGAATTGGATCTTTGGTGGCATTCTATGTGCTGTTGGAATCTTTTTTCTCGCACTCTTGTTCATTGTGAAGGTAGACAACTCTTGAAATTTTCTCTCCGCAACCATTCTTGTTTAAAGAAAATTGAACGATTATTCAAAAATGAATGTTCCTCTCATGTGCAGGCAGGGATTATTAAGGACTATCCTGCAGAGCTTATGGTAACACTCATTAGCTGCTTTTTTGAGACTCTGCAATCAGCCATAGTTGCTCTAGTTGCAGAAAGGGATCCAAATGCTTGGAAACTAAGACCTAATCTCGAGTTGGTGACAATTTTTTACTCGGTAAGCATTCGAAAATAACCCATAAGTGACCCCATGCACAAGGATGGCCCAACCTCTAGGTTGACAAAGCCTGGGCTTTAGGCCCAACACCATATAGAAGGCTCCAAATTTTTGTATATATTAATAGCCCATCTCAAAGCTTTACATTCATAACATGTTTAGGTCTAACAAAAAAGTCATATAAGAACATAATCCAATTAAAAAATTTTAAGCTCAGTAAATAAGACCCATAATTAGAAATCTATAAATGACTTACCTATATTATTTATTGATAATAATATACAAAAAAATAGAAATGCCAGAACTTAATTTGTATTTCTTAATCTCGAATTGAAAAATAAAATATATATATTTCGAATGAATGCAATTTAACATTTATTATTATTATTATTATTATTATTATTATAAATATTAATATGGCCTCATTTATAAGTTAGCTAATTAGGTTAAAGTCTCTCCTTTAATGTGTAAAGTAATTTTAGTCCTACCGGATTTGTAATATATAAAAAGGTCATCCGTATTTTTGACAAAATTGCATACGGTCCCTGTGTGGATGCAAAGATATAGGGGTTGAACAGTAGTGTATTTTTATTACTCATTTTGTCCTCATTATATGATTTTAGCCTGAAATACAATTAGTTTTTTTTTTTTTGCATTGTTATTGAGAATTTTGTGTTTGGTTTTATGTACTTATGTACTTATAATGACGTATATTTACTTTTTTCTCAATTAAATATTGTTGTACATACATCGTGGAGATATATATTCATATAATATACCTGAATGATCGTGTATGTTGTATGTCATATATGATATGTTGTGTATCTATATAAATGCGCATATATTAATTATGTACCTATTATGTTTGTTAATGCATTTTTTGGCGTGTGTAATGTTTGTGAGTGTGATTACCTTTTATATTCAATTTTTAGTTTTGTTGAGGATGGATACGTAACTCTAGTGATAAAATTTTAGTTACCTGTTTATGTATTTGTTGTTCATTTGTATGTGTTTTGATGGTTAGTATATGATGAGACTTTTCTGAAATACTTTATGATGAAGACACGTGTCCTCGGTATTATTAAAACACTGTTGCTAAGATCAAGCACCATCGGCGCACAAGGCCCTCGCCCCGAGGTACTCAGCATATAGGATCATGCATTCAGTATGTTTTTACACCGACACGTGGCCTCGGTCTGATATGGTACCTCGGTCGGTGTCCCTACCTCGGTGCCGAGATGATCCTTCCCTCGGTGCCGAGGTGTACCGTCCAGGACGCCTCCTCTACTCCAGGATAAGCTATTGACGTACAGGTTATTAGCCTAGGCTATTCTAGGCTAATCATCATGACCTCGTCTTACACAAGTAATGTCAGCACGTACAAGAATACAGGTGTCACAGCCAATAGGGGATGAACACGTGGCGTATGATATCACATCGAAGACAGAAAATCGCATGCCGTTGCTGACACGCGACATGGGAAAACAAACAATTAAATGCACCATTTCCTTGATGAGACCGCATTCAATGCGGTAAGGTTCGAAAATGAAAGGCAATAAATGCTCCTAATACAGAGCATTTATTGCATCCTCCCCGAGAGGAGCACATTGTACCGTCGGCATCCCGATGACCCAGCATTAACTGCTCGGGACCCTGAGCAGTTAAGAAGAGAAGACATTCCTCATCAGAATCAGTGCGCACGCTGCCTGTACCTAATGATCACATACTGACCACACTGACAGCAATCATGAGCTTTTGAGGTATAAATACTCCTTGCAAAAGGCAAGACGGGTATGCGACAACAAACCCTTTACTATAATACACACTCAGTGTTTTCTCCTTTCTCTCTCTCACTCAAAGACTGACTAGATCGTCGGAGGGGATACGCCGGAAAACACTCCGGCGCCCTTCTAACTTGTTCTTCTTTGTTCCAGGATCCTCTTTCAGCCTTACTGGATCGTTCTTCCGCTCCCCCAGGGTCCCCCGTTTCCGTTCCAGGTTACCACCGGACCTCGCAGGCTGCCCCAAGCAGCGTGGTTGGTCACTCAACTGGCTCACTCGAAGTTTACCAAGGGAGAGATCTGTTCTCATTTTTTATATTGTGCAGGATCTTGCACGCACAATCTGGCGCCGTCTGTGGGAAACGACTAGTTTTCCTAGTTTTTTCTCTATAAAGAACAGTGACCATGGTGAACACTCGACAGAAAGGGAAAGGACCCCACCAAAGGAGTCTCGAGTTACAAGCTCCCTGTCATCACAGAGGGAGGGATCACACCAATACGAATAAAAGTGCCTCTACTCGGTCAAGAGGGGTTACCCCTCAAACCAGTATGGGGATCAGGTCAGGGGGATCAGCCCCCTTGGCTCGTCAGCTGGCGGAGGTGATTGAAGAAAAATTTGGTGATAGATTACGACAGCTGAAAAAGGACAACGTAAACGTCCTGAGCCGGCTCGACGAGTTTGCCGCCTCTGGTGGGGGGTCTAGGGATTCGTTCTTTTCCCGTGGGCTTCCCACCCGGGAGGCGGAAACGAAGGACCTAAGAAACCACCTAAACAACAAAGCAGAAAGCTCTAGGGCTCCAAAGCGACCCAGAGCCGCCGAGCACCATCATGACAACCTTTCAAGGAAAGCAAGGCCATTGGCCCTAGACGACCTCCGACGAGGTTTGTCTAGACGGAGGAAAGGAGATGAATCCGAGGAGGACTCAACCCTATCCACCCGGCGCCTAGGAAATGAGGGGCTTACCGATGAATTCAAGGACTTCAGAAGGCATCCCGCTAGGGAAGAAGTTGATCTCAGAGCCCGATTAGACTCCAGGAGAAAGGGTGAGGCTATCCAGGATGAGGCCGACGACGAAGTCATGCAAACACCCTTTACAAGGGAGATCAGTGAGATGGAGGTCTCAAGAAAATTTGTCGTGCCGCGGTTCAAAACCTATGACGGGCGGTCCGATCCCGAAGCCCATATCAGGCAATACAAGCAGATGATGTCCCTCTATCATTCGGACCAACGATTTCTCTCCCGAGTGTTTCCTATGAGCTTGGGGGACTCTGCGATGAAATGGTTCGAGGCGCTACCCCCAAACAGTATTGGGTCCTGGAAGGAATTGACTAGACAGTTCCTGGCTCGATTCATTACGGGGAGCAAGCGCCCCAAAGACATCGGATCATTACTGACCCTCAGATGGAGGGAATCCGAGACTCTTCGCCAGTACGCCATCCGATACTGGGAAGAGGTTAATGAGATAGAAGGCTGCTCGGAGGTCATGGCGGCAGCATCTTTCCGGCTCGGCCTGGCAAGGGACACGAACTTGTACCGATCCCTGACCAAGAAGACTCCCTCAGATATGGGGGAACTAATGGCCCGAATAAACAAGTACTCGAGGGTTGAGGACGAGATGGGAAATAGCAAAGGCCGAGTCCTCCAATCTAAGAGAAAAGAGAAGGAGCGAGAAGATATTCCCCGAATGGGATTGCTGCCCCATCCAGGGGCTTCGTCCAGAGGAGTTCACACTGTTTTCAAGGAACCCATCTTCAAGTTGCTCCATAAAATCAAGCACGAGCCGTTCTTCAAATGGCCGCCCAGGATGCAGGGCGACCCCTCCACCCGAGATCAAAAGGTTAGGTGTTCCTATCACCGGGATGTCGGGCATCGCACCGAAAGCTGCAGGGTGTTCAAGTCGTTCTTGGAAAGCTTGGTCCGAGACGGACATTTGAAAGAGTACATAGAGCCCAGGCCAGAAGAGAGACGAGCCCTTGCCCCGACCGAGGAGCCGGACAACGTCATAGATGTCATCCGTATATGTCCCCTGGAGCGCCCCACGTCCAAGAAGCTTGAGTCCGACCTCAAGAGGGTAGCTTTTACAAGGAAGGTAGCCGAGGCTGATGTGGGGTCATCAAGTAAAAGGGCCAGGATGGGTGAGCTTGGCATTACGTTCTCCGACGCGGATTTGACAGGCGTGGTGATTCCTCATAACGACGCCCTTGTCTTGACCCTGAAGATAGGGAAATTCGATGTCAAGAGGATTTTGATAGATTCAGGAAGCTCCTCGGAGGTGATGTACTTCGAAACTTTGAAACGGATGGGTCTTGGCCCAAAAGACCTCACCAAAGTCAGGACACCCCTCATCGGGTTCAACGGCTCATTCGCCTTGCCCGTGGGGAAAATCACATTGCCAGTTGCCACTGGTCCCTTTATCATCGACACCGAGTTTGTTGTGATCGATACAGACTCTCCCTACAACGTGATTATGGGGCGAACATGGCTGCATGCGTTAGGAGCGGTGCACTCCACTTTCCACCAGAAGTTGAAATTCGTCACGCCAGAGGGTATCATGGAGATCCGGGGGGACCAAGCGTCCGCGAAGAATTATTTTTATTCAGCCGTTCGAGCCGTGGCGTCCAGCCAGGAGAAGGGGCGAGCACCGGAAGAGATTATGGAAAAATAGCAATTACAGTCCGGCGCGTCCAGGAATGGATGACCCCCGGATAGACCCAACTGAGCGGTCGGTAGAAGACCTCCGGAAGGTGCCCTTGGTAGAGGGAGAAGAAGAGAGGTATTTCTTAGTTGGGACCTCGATGCCCACAGCCGAACAGGAGGAGATGATCGAGTTCCTAAGGGAAATACAGGCGTGTTCGCCTGGAACGAAATGGAAATGACGGGGGTGGACCCCGAGATAATCACACACAGGCTGCACGTTGACCCGTCGCACAAGCCAGTCAAACAGAGGCCACGACGAATGGCCCCGCATCACACCAACGCGG